AACGATGACACTATCTCCTGCACGGGGCTACCGCACGTATTCTTTTCTTTTTTGCACTCTTCTGTTCGTACCGCCGGCTATAGCAAATTTGCCCACTTCGACCCTATAACTGAACTATTATTCTCTAAGCGGAACGTAAAGCCAGCTCCCCTCCCACCCCCCACCGTAGAGTAGAGTAAGTGAGGAAGATCCCCTTCGCATACAATCGTATTACGTCTACAACTTGGTTGCCAATGGTCATGTATATAGGAGTGATCAATACACTCACGCACACCAACACACACACACACACACCAACACACACACACACACAAGCACACACACTCAAACCCCCCCCCCGGCCCGGTTATTCTGACCTTGCCAGCACTCCACGGGCGTTGATGTGGTGCTGGTGCAGATGTTCTGCCCGTCAAACGCCAGCTTGCGCGTGCTGGTGCTCGTCGTCCAAAACACGTTGTCGTAGGTCTCCGTTGCAAGGTCATACCTGAAGACATCGGAAGGCCATTGCGACAAAGACCCGAACTTTGTGTGATGACCACGGAGGGCACGGAGCAGGAGCATAACAACAAGCCTCACCTAGACCAACACCAAAAAGCACATCCGATAGCACCCAGCAGCGCCATCAGCAGGTATGCCACGCGCACAGCAAACTGTACTTTGTCACCCGCACCTGTACATATTGGTATCATCGTAGTCTCCGGCAAAGATTTTCCCGTTGGCGACGGCGAATGTGCCGTACATGTTGGAGAAGGTCTGTGGGGAGCTCTTCAGGCTGTAGATTGGGCGATATGTGGCAACGGTGCAGTGGAGAAGGAAATGATGGCAGGCCGTGAGAGTCAATGCACAGGACGACACAGAAGCATACACAATGTTACTGCGGACTTGTAGCACCACATATAAGGCCTTGCAGACGCACGTCTAACTCGTCATGCACACGCACACACACGAACAATGCGTGTATGCGTCCTTGCGGACACCGATACACCACCACATCGACGTACGTGAATGCGCGTTGATATGCGCCAGTTTCCCAGTCGAGCACGCGAATGTTGAGGCTGTTGCTCTGCATGGCGTAGACAGCGCCGTCGTACATGGCAACACCGCCCACCGTTGTCCCAAAGTTGTAGTTCCAGATTTGCTGTGATGCCATGCGACATGATACGGTGTGATGCGGCGTGAGGAACAGGGCATCGTGTTGGAGCATGCTTGTTGAAGAGCACATGCACACGTTCATACGCTCGCACCCACAGTCACACAACGAGTTGCGCACCCTCATCCTTCTCACAAGTATGAACCCACACACACACACACACCACACACACACACATGAACATTCACACACATCCCCAACAATTTCCTCACACATACATGCGCTCACCGTGCTCAGTGGGAATGGCCCGAAGCGGTAGACGCGATTTTGCGAGTACGTGCTGACGAGGTACGTGTCGTCAATGTGCGGCCAGATCTGAAACACCTGTGTGTTGGAAGACAGCAGGTGGGATATAGCAGGTGGGATATAGCAGGTGGGATACATGCATTCGAGAACAACACATGTCAGGGAAATGCAACTGTAACCAGCAAGGCGAGGTGCACGACAATTCCACTCCATGAACCACCCCACCGCAAATCAGGCTCAAAGCAGTCTGCAATGCTACCACTACTGGCTCCCGCGTCACTCACATATGCGATGGGAATGCGAAATGAGCCGATCCGTGTCGACAAATCCGTCGCAGCGTATCTGAACAGACGTGAACACGACCACGCACACACACACACGCACACACATGCACACACACACATGCACACATTGGGGAGTCCGCAGGAATCCGCGTGGGACATGAGCATGTGAAACAATTGCAGCGCGTTGGGATAACGGCTTCCCACAACGATCACCATCATCCATTTCAATCTCACTGTAACGACATACACAACATACATGCAAATAATGCACAACACGCACACACACACACACACCACGCACATCAGGCACACGCACACCACGTGCAAATGCAACGAGTCTATCTGCATGCGCACCTGTGCACGGTTGTCCCCGGGTTTGAGGTGGTGGTGTAAATGGGGAACCACCACTCATGTCGTCGTGGACTGTACGCCATTCCGTAAGAGCTCGAGGGGAACGATCCCGAGTAGTTGAGTGCAACCGTGTCCAGTGGCGTGGCGATGGGCAGGCCACCCCGGCACACACCCGCCACACACACGTCGAGCTGCGTACTGCAGTCACGGGCAAATGAGGCGTGTGTGTGTGTGTATGTATGTGTGTGTGTGTGTGTGTGTGTGTGTGTGTGTGTGTGTGTGTGTGTGTGTGTGTGTGTGTGTGTGTGTGTGGACCTGCATGTCAGTACCAGCATCGAAATGAGAACCTCACACAACAGCACCCTCGTCGTTGATCCTCACCCGCACCCACCCACCCACACACTCACTCACACACACACACACACACGCACATTTACCCACACCTCACCCTAATCTCAACACTCACGTGTCGTCGCCATCGTTACAAGGGGCTCCATCGAGTTTCACCGGCTGCGTGCACATTGGCCCATACTAAACAAATTGTCAGAGCAGGAAGGGGGTGTGAGTGGACACGCAAGCACAAGACGTGAGATGGCGTGTTTGTGTTTGTGCGTGTGTGAACATGTTCACACAGACGTGTGTACACACATGTACATATCCACGTGTGCGCACATCCAACCAACACACACACACGCGCACACACACGCACACACACACGCACACCCACACACATACACACACATACACACACACGCACGCGTTCATGCCAACACAGCGTTCAAACATAATCTCACATATGGATCGTAGATGCACTCGCCCTCCTGATGGCACTGACTGCGCGCTGCGCAGGAAAGGTCATCACACGATTGCGGCCGCAACTCTGCATCGATGCGAAATGGTGGGATGTGAGAGTTGGTGTGAATGCTTTGCCCACAAGCATACCAAGACAAGCGCATTACGTCTGCACACACACACACACGCACAAACACACGTACACACACACACAGTACACAGTACACCCACACACACACACTCATACACACATGCACGCATTCATCTTCTCTCCCTTCCCCTTGCTTTCAGCACTCATCTTCATCGCAGCGATCATGCGCCAGCGCACCTGGCATGAAGTAGATGCTGTACGCGATGACTTCGCCCTCATCCGACGGCGGCAGCTCATACGTCACCTGATGGGCGTGTGATGGCAGGGGATGGGTTAGCCAGGCAGTGGTGTTGTTGGCAAGCGAGGTAGTGGGCGCAGACAGTAGTATTAACATACACACACATTCACACACACACCACCACAGCACCTTGATGGCCGTTTTGTTGAGTGCGTTGGCGTTGACGTTGTCAGGCGGTGTGCGGGGAATGCCCTGACCGGTGGTGGGCGCGATGGTGTTGCTGCGCTCGCCCTCGCCAGCTGACGTCCACGCAGACACTTGCACAAGATAGGTGGAGATGGGGTCCAGGCCATCAATCTCAACCGACTGCTGGCTGCCACTGGACGTGGTCACAGAGTTCCACGTGGCACCAAGCCTGAAGGGACAACGATGGTTCAAAGAAGAGGGGAATAGTCACGTGTGAGCATGGCGTACAGAGTGCATCCAAGCGCGAAATCGTCACAAACACACACACACACACGCCCACACGCACACACACACATACACCACCACCAAGATCGCTCACTTCTGGTAGTAGACGGTGTACTTGGTAACGACGCCGTTGGGTTCGTACGGCGGCTGCCAGCTGATGGTTATCACTTCGCCGTTGTCAGACAGCTCCTCATCAGCCTGCACGTTGGACGGCGGGCCGGGCGGCGCCTCTGGCGTCTGAACGGTGATGCTTTGAGAGGGCGGAGAGGCGCCAGCGCTGTTGTAGGTGGTGACGAAGATGGTGTGGTTGCTGTACGGCTGCAAGTTCGTGACGGTGAAGGTGAAGTAGTTGAGGGTGGCCACCAATTCGGCCGGACGGTCGGCAGACTGGACAAACACCTGGCGGTGATGACGATGGCCGTGGTGAAGAAGGGGTGCGCACGCATCGTGGTCAGTAAGGCAATATGTTGGTGGCGGTGGTACTGCTCGTGCTGGTGATGATTGATGATTGCACGAGGAGACAAGCAGGCACACCAGCCCGCACACACACCCACACACACACACACACGCCAATGAACACTAACAAGTACAAACACACACACATACGCACATACACACACACCAACACACACACACAAACACACGAGTAAGCACATACACACACACACGAGCAAGCACACACACACACAAAACACCACGCAGCTGCACCTGGTATCCCAGCAAGCGCCCTTGGTGTGTGGGCAGCGGCGGTTCTGCCCACGTCACTTCCATGGCCCTGGCAGAGATGAGGCGTGCTGCAACATCCACGGGACCCGATGTTGGTGGCGCCTCGCGTGTGGTGCTGTGAACGGCATCGCTGAGGGGGCCACCGCCAATGCTTGTGTACGCCTGCACCTGCACGGCGTAGGTGCGTCCGGGGTGGAGGTCGTCGAGGGTGAAGGAGGACGTGTTGGAGTAGCGCGCAGCACCCACGCACTGGCCAGCGACACACGCGTCAAACGCCGTCGTGGTGTCGCCATCGTCGCAGGGGGTGCCGTCGGGGATGGTCGTGGGCACGCACACACCAAGTTGGCACACGTTGGTGGGGGTGCACGGGTTCGTTTGGCATACAACACCATCACACGGATCGTACGAGTCTCCGGTGATGGAAAACACCTCAATCTCATCGACATAGATGTTGCTTGAGCCGCCAGCCCAGGAGTTGGAATAGCCACCACTATCAATTCGATAGCTGGAGGGATTGAAAGACACGCGCTGGCAGTTGGAGTAGAAGCGAAGGTCGTGTCCACCGCCTATTTGGTTGGTTGGTTGGTTATGTGTGAGTGTGTGTTTGTGTGTTTGTGTGTGTGTGTGTGTGTGTGTGTGTGTGTACGTGTGCGTGTGCGTGTGTGTGTTAGTAGGAAAACATGTCACTGTGTCATGTCACTCTGTCAATCATAAGCAGCACACCACTTCTTGACGTGCTCTGGGCGGTATCCGGCTGTTGACCCCCTCCCCCCGTCCCTGCCTTCCCCCCCCCCCCCCTGCACCTCACCGAATGTCGGGCAGTAGGAGTTCCTGTGGTACACGGCGTTGCCGGGAGACGAGAGGTCCTGATCCGTGCGCTCAACTTGTTCGCCATTGAAGCGGAAGAGGAAGGCCAAATAGTCCGTGCGGTACCTGTCGAGTGACAACCGCATATTCACAGGGTGTGCGATCATGTGGGAGTGTGAAACAAGACGCTGAAGATGTGCAAGGCATCACCACCACCACCACCACCACCATCATCATCATCATCATCATCATTACCATCATCACCATCATCATTACCATCACCACCACCATCATCATCATCATCATCATCATCATCATCATCATCATTACCATCATCATCATCATCATCATCATCATCACCATCATCATCATCATCATCATCATCATCGACTCCACGACATCGTCATCAACGCACACACACACACACACACACACACACATGAATGCACCAGCACAACGTCCGAAATACGTGTGCCCACCCACCCCACGTACGTTGAGCTGCTGGTCCAAGCGACGTGAGTAAAGCCGCCAAACACTCGGCCCGTGTCCCTGTTGCGACCAATGGTAAGCGTGGGGCCCTTGTTGTCGCAGCGGCTGTGGAAGGTCGCTGAGCTCCAGCCATCGACGGTGCCGGAATAGCAGCGAGCAAAGTAGTGCGACGACGGCAGAAGGTCAGAGAGCTGTGCGTTCATGTACGCGTTGAGGATCTTTGAGCCGACGATCAGCGGTGGGCTGCCGCGTGTAGGGTTGTCGTACACGTTTCGCTCCAGAATCTGGTAGCAGCGCACGTTTGAGTCGCCGTCACTCACGCAGATGTCCCGCCCGTTGAACGCCATCGTGTAGATGTTGTAGGCCACGTTGAAAAACATGCCATCGTAGGCACCCGTGTCCAGATCGTACCTGTGTCAGTGTGTGAGTGCGTGTATGTGTGTTTGTTTGCATAACATTGTGGCGACGAGAGGTTTTCGGCCGTTGACGCAAACAACACCACAAACAACAAGCGACAGAAAGCCAGACACTCACACAATCAACAAACACACTGACACGCACATACCCTTCTCCCCTCTCCTCTATGTGCCCGTCGCCGTGCCTACCTGTAAAACCTGCGCGTGGAGCCGTGTGCGTGGTACAGCTTGCCCTGGACGGCGACGAGGCTGCCATACATAGTGCTGAAGCTGCTGCCACTCGTCGTGTCGAGATCAAACGATCGCTCCAACACGCCATCACGGGCACGCAGCACATATACGGTAGATCCTGACGCCTTCATTGCGTACACGCTGGCGCCGTGCGTGGTGACGCCGCCAGCCGTCGTGCCCAGGTTGTACGACCACACCAGCTGGTTCTGCGGCCACGTCGCCTTGTAGATGTAGTTGCTGGCTGCCAGGTAGTAGTGGGGCGAGTCGGGCGATCCCCACACCTGGCGGATGGGGCGAACGCCGTTCACAGACGTAAATGTTGACAGCCCAAACGAGCGACCCTGCACGTCGTAACGGTAGATGGTGCTGCCACTCCACGACGGGTACCAGTACTGGCGAAGCATCGGCATGTACCCGCCGCCGTACGACCGCGTGTTCATGGAGCGCGACTGGAACGTGGACACCGTGTCAAGGACTGCGGGCTCATCATCGCTGTGCCAGATGTTATGCGACAACACCTGTTCATGTCGAGTGGTGGTGCATGTGTCAGTAATGCTCCAACACACACAAGTGGCTTTTGGATCGTTGTAACAGCCCACCAGTGTCAAGGCAAACACGCACATGCGAGCAACACGGTATGCACATACGCAACACGCACACAAACACACACAAACACACAAACACACGCAAACACACAAACACACACAAACACACACACGCACATAAACACACACAAGCATAAACACACACAAACACATAAACACACACAAACACACACACGCACATAAGAGCATTGATGTACCTGGTAGCAGTTGACGTTGTCGTTGTTCTGACTGACGCAGAGGTGCTGACCAGTGAATGCCATGCTGTAAATTGTCTCACGTGTCTGGAATCTGCGATGTACACAGGTGCCACGAAAGCAAGAACACGTGTATGAGATACAAGCACCTAATGTCGTGCATCGTATGCATACACAAACCAACACGTTAAACAGCAGTAAGCCCCTGCAAGTATGTGCACGCGGGCAGCACACACACACACACATACCCAACTAAACATAAACACACGCACATACCCAAGCAAACACACACGCACATACCACGAACACGCCAACCACAAACACACACACACACACACACACACACACACACACACAGATAAAACAGCAACCACAAACACACACCTGAAGCCATCAAAGCTGCCGTCTGCCAGGTTGTGGCGGTAGAAGTACTGGCCAGTGCCGTAATAGACCTTGTCGTTGGCAACAGCAAACGCGCCGTAGAGACTACCGATGCCGCCACCAGTCAGGTCAAACGTGCGCACGAACGCCCCGGTCATCTTGTCGACCACGTGCACAGTTGAGCGGCTGTTCTGGATGCAGTACGCATACTTGCTGTCCGTTGCAACGCCACCAACCGTGGTCGCTGGCTGCGGGGTGTAAGTCCAAACGACACTCGTGCTCGGGAAGGGCCCAATCTTGCGACAGTATTGGTTGTTCCAGTTGGCGGTGTAGTAGTACAGCGAGTCTGGTTCGCCCCACAGCTGCATGATGTTGGACGTGCCGCTGACGCTGAACGTGTACAGGTAGGTGCCGTCGCGGTCATGGCGGTAGATGGTGCTGCCGCTCCACGACGGATAGAAGAACTGCCTGAGCCGCGGCATGTACCCGCCGCCGTGCGACTGCGAGCTCATGGACCTGATGGTGGGTGGAGGCGATGATGGGCATGGAGGGCGATGTTGGTTGTCGTTGTTGTTGGTGGTGTTGGTGGCGGTGGTGTTGGTGTTGGTGGTGGCGGTGGTGTTGGTGTTGGTGGTGGTGGTGGTAGTGTTGGTGTTGGTGCGACGGTCATCGTGGTGGCATTTCGATGGTCTGAACAAGCACACACACCCAGACACACTGCTGTAATCATGCACGCACCCATACAACTACCCAGACACGCACTCGCAGACCCACTGCTGCACAGCTCCTCATGCCTGAACTGTAACACGACATACACCCTAACGTACAAATGGACGACGGGAGGTGTTTGGTCCATGTGCTGGTTGATGAGCTCCCCAACGCACGCGCCCGCCACACAGTGATCACGGATGGTGTCCTTGTTGCCATCGTCGCACGTGATGTTGTCGGGCTTGTTGGTGTACATACACTCGCCAAACTCACAGGTTGGCTCCTCCTGGCAGGGAGATGGCGGCGGGCAGGCCATGTTAGTACAGCCGCGGTCGGCGGAGGGCACGTGGTAGATCCGGTAGCCCACGATGTCGCCGTTGCTGCCCGGTGTGCTGGCGCTCATGGCGCTCCAGGAGAGGTTGAAGGCAGTGGCAGATGTGTCGTCCACGCTGAGGCCCGTCGGTGCAACCGTGGGCAGGTGTGGGCGTGTCTTCTCCGTGGTCATAAACGAGCCCGTACTGCGGTCACCGTCCAGGCCAATCGTGTACACGCGCACCACGTACTCCGTGTTTGGGGTGAGGCCCGTGATGGACGCCGTGAACTGCTCATCGGGCGAGTCGCCGTCCTGCCACTGCACAGGAAAGCGAACGGTCACCACTTCGTCCGTGGTGCTGCCCGGCACGGGCGTGGCCACGAGGTCAAAGCCGAGGACGGGCGCATTGCGGAACCAGATGCCCGCAGGCACAGCCCAGCCAACAATAATTTCGTCAGCATTCGGCGGGTACGTCGACGGGTCCACAACAGGCAGGGAGGTCGTCACGGAGCGCGGCTGGCCGGGCGGGACTATGCCGGACGCGTCAATGGAGAGCATGGCAAAGGGGCCGAGGCCTTGCGCGTTTTGGGCAGCAATGCCGACGCTGTAGCCTGAGAATGGATAGGCAAGCTCATCAACCAGGGTGTACGAGAGGGTAGCGGCAGACACGGTTACGTCCGTGGCGTTGAGGGTGACGTTGCCGTATGCCCACGTCCGTGGCTGCGGGGCGGTGGGGCGGATGCGCACGACGTAGCCCGTGATGGCGCCGTTGGTCGTGGTGGAGTCGGGGGCATCCCAGTACACTGTAAACCCGCCATTGGGCGTTGGTGTAGTGGTCGGGTTCCTCGGTGGTGCAGTGGGCTGGAAATGGTCCACAAGCAGGTCAGAATGAGAACGAGTGCTGTTGTATTGTAGTTGTAGTTGTAGTTGTTGCGCTGTGTTGTGTTGTGTTGTGTTGTGTTGTGTTGTGTTGTGCGCTCAACGAGGTGTGCGCGTCACTTCGAGGCATCCACAACACCAGCAAGAGATGCGCTCATTCGCGCAACACCAAAACACTGCGAACGTGGTCTTGATGTACTGACTTCGTTGGCGCGCCGGTGTCTATGCTCACGCCACCACATGACGGGCAGTGCCACAACCCACGCACGCAAGGCACGCAGCAAGAGCAAGTAAAAACATGTGTGGAGTGGTGAGCCGTCAGGTATTTATGTGTGGCTTCCTGACACATCACATCATGAACGAAAACACAGACGAAGAAAATGACGGCGAATGATGTGTAAGTAAACAACCTTACAGTGTAAACAAAACAACACAACACAAACAACACTGTCACTCACCTGAATGCATCGGCTGCTGCTTGACCAGATGCAGCTGCACAAACGAGCAACAGGGCAACTGCAAGCGAGACTGCTGCGCCAGCCAAAGGCCGCCGGCAAGGCTTCTTCATCCTAACTTCTGCGATACCACTGCTGCTGGTCGACTGAGAGGACGACAGACAACACGTTGAGAACCAGCAACAAGTTAGGCATTGTTAGATTTGCGCAAAGCTCGGGAATGGAGTGTTGACCTTCGCGCACCAGACACAGTGGCCAACAAAGCATCGCCGCACAAGACACAGACACAAACAACAACAACAACAACAACAACAACAACAACAACAACAACAACAACAACAACAACAACAACAACAACAACAACAACAACAACAACAACAACAACAACAACAACAACAACAACAACAACAACAACAACAACAACAACAACAACAACAACAACAACAACAACAACAACAACAACAACAACAACAACAACAACAACAACAACAACAACAACAACAACAACAACAACAACAACAACAACAACAACAACAACAACAACAACAACAACAACAACAACAACAACAACAACCTGGGGCACACGGAGCCCACCGTCGTCATCGAAGTAACAAAAGAAACCCGAAAGGAAATGGGGCAAGAGGCAGTATCTCCAAAAGCTGTGAACAAAAGGTGTGCAAAAGAGGAATGAAATGACGTCATTGCCGACATTAAATATTTTCCCAAATGATTCGATGCATAAAGTCCTACTCGGATGATGTCACAACTTGCTGCGTAGCCAACCAACACCCCCAGCAAACACTCCCCACACCCACCAACCCGTCACACTGCACATTCACATAGCAACACACTGCACTGCACCCACCCCAACACACACACACACACACACGATGGCGGACGACATTGTCGACCGCAGCACGCTGAGCAACGGTGACTTTGTGTCACTGTTTGTGCAGAGTGCGGGTGGTGTGGCGAGCGTGGACTTGCTCTCGTCAAAGGAGATCTCCGTCTTCCAACCCACCAAACTACAGCAAGAGCACCAGAAAGCAACACAGCAGCAAGGCGACAGCACCAATGCAACCTACTCCTCCTCCTCCACCGCTGACGCCACCTCTACCAAGGCAGACACGGCACCCACCACCATCCCAAACTTTGAGCAGGCATGCATCTTCCAGATCAAGGCGGTGACGGACCTGCCGGAGGGCGCCAGCCTCAAGTACGGCGACGTCGTGCGCATCATCCACCGCAGCACCCAGCGCAGCATCACGCGCCAGACCCGCGCCGTTGGCGGCGTGTACTCCGTGGCTCTCGATGCCACCAGCGCCGGCGCCAGCCACTTTCGCCTCCTGCCGCGCTTCAAGATCAGGGCCATCGGCGACCCGGTCCTCCTCAACGACCAGGTCGTCTTCCAGAACGAGCTCATCCTCGACGGAAACCGCACCTTCCTCACCTCCTCCTCAAGCCTCGACCAGTCCAAGGTCCTCCTCGCCTGCGGGCCGTCCGAGACATCCGGCATACGCATCCGCCTCTTCGCCCCCTACAACGTCTCTGGGGAGGCCTTCATCCACGTGCTCAAGGGCGGCGACTTTGTGCGCCTGTACCACCACGAGGCCAACGGGTTCCTCGTCGTTGCGCGGCAGATTGGCGACGGCGACGAGGATGACTTCCTTGGCCACGACAACACCGTCTGTCTCCGCGCCATCGGGGCAGGCAACCAACCGGGCGACTACCACGACGCAAGCTCCATCTGGCAGGTGGAGCTCGAGGACACCCAGCGCCGCGGCGGCAGGCCCGTGCTGTGGACCGACCACGTGCGGCTCAAGAACGTCCTCACAGA